TGAAGACATTATTTTGCTGAGTTTGTTTTAAATTGAGGCATATTGCAGGTGCAATAATCAACTTCTGTTGCATCATCGTTGTAATATAATATATATCCATTTATATAATAATTAATTTTTATAGCGGTGAGATCCAATTTGGATACTAATTTCTTTATTCTATACAAATCTAAGGGGACTAAATTTTTCACTAGATTTGTTTCCTTGAGAAGACTAATGAAGTCATTGAAATAATTATAAGAAATATTATAGTCAATTTTGATACTTAACATCATAACAAAAATCGATAATTCTGAATAAGTTATGCAACCATTCTAAATTAGTTTTTGAACATTTAGTAGTAATTCAAAGATTTTTTTACTATCTACATTTGGTGGCTCTTTTATGATGGCCCTTAAATAAGGACATGTTGCATCAAAATTAAGTTCTTCATATGGTCTACTTATTTGATCTTCATCAACTATTTTGTGGATGGACCAACACGAGTATCTCTGTGTGTCTCATACTCGTCATGTGAGGTCCAAATCCAGTATCCTGGAACAAATCCCCTATGATATAAATTAACTTTTACATCATTGGGCTTAATGAATGCTTGATTTTTTGCTTCGATCATGGACATCTAAACATTCCATTGAACTTAAATGAAAGTAGTTGAGATACAACTTGAATAAAAGTTTCAACTCCTTTAAATTCATCTTTCAATCTCTTTGACCTGGTAACAACCTATTATAAATCAAATATCTCTTTTCTTTGATAGTTATTTTGATGTTAAAGTAAAATTTCCCTACATAGTTTAGAATGAATTATTAAAAAATATACAGCCTTAAATCTCATTTAAATCTAATAAATAAATATCATTTTAATTTCTTTAGCCAAGTCTTTTTAGGTCTACCTCCACCTTTCTTAATATAAGTCAAATTTAATACCTTTACTTCCCTAATTGGGTTATCGGAAGGCCGCCATTTTAAGTGACCAAACCATCTAAGATGACTTATCTTTGCAAAACTTAACTTAGTATTATGCTTCTCTTTTATTGGTCAACATTTCACACCATAAAGTATTACAAGTCTCACCATCATCTTATAATTTTTCCCTTTAGTTTGAGGGGGACTTTTCTATCATATAGCAAGCCTAATGCATTCCTCAACTTCAATCATCCAACTTGAATTATGTTGATAATATCCCTATCTATTTCACCTTCACTCTGAACAATAGTCCAATATCTAAAATGTATACTCTTAATAATAACTTGATTGACCAAAGTCATAATCCTCTCACTAGGTGTATTACTACTAAAATTACCCTTTATATATTTTGTTTTAGATTTAATCATGCAAAAACCTTTAGACTTTAAGGTTGACCTCCATAATTCAAGTTTACCTTCAACTCCCTTTATAGTCATATCATCAAGAAGAATATCATCAGTACAAAGTATAAACTAAGGTACATTCGCTTACAAATTTCTATTGAGAATATCCATGACTAAAGCAAAATGATATAGGCTTACGGCTTTCTAAAAATCAACCTATAGATTCAAAGGTTGACCTCCATAATTCATGTTTATCTTTAACCCTCTCTTCATTTTTACCAACAAGAAGAATATCAATAGCAAAAAGTATAAATTAACCAAGGCATATGCTCTTACAAATGTCTATTGAGAGGAAAAATAAGAAGATGTATGGAGATCACCTTCAACTAGGGTGGTCAAACTCGAGTGAGGCCATCGGGGGGTGAGGGAGTGGGAGGAGTTCGGCAAGCTAGAGTTCTGTTGACGAAACAAACAAGTACAAGTGTGGAGTTTGGTGAGGGTGTGGGCATCTTGATGAAAGAAAATGGTCCACGTGAAGAAATGAGGAAGAAGGAAGGGGATTTTAACTGTCGAAAACTTTTTACTTAAAAATGGTGGCTAAACCACTGGTAAAAGTTGCCATGAAAGGAGAATATCGATGATATTTATGGTGATCAATTGACTGCTGGAAGTTATGATGGTTTCATAATTAATATCGGCAGTTAAACCACAAGTTAATAACAACAATCAAATCGCCGGTAGTTCTAGCGGTCAACTAACCGCAGGTATTCAATAAAATTCCTGTAGTGTATCCTTTAAAATCATAGGTTATTCTGATTTAGATTTTGTACGTTGTAGCTTGATAAAAAAAGACCCTCTGAAACTTGTCAACTCATTATACAATTATTAATCTCTTGGTCTAGTATAAAATAAAATTTTATATCATTATCTATTACTGAAGAAAAATATATAGTTGTAGAGAGCTGTGTTGTACAAGTTCTATGGATTAAATAAAAAATCTTAGATCTTGGACTACATGTAGACACCATTCCTGTGTGATAACACTAGTGCCATTTGAATTTCTAAAAATTCAATTCAACACTCCTGAACCAAACACATAGATATTAGGCATCATTTTATAAGAGATCATGTTACCAAGGGGGAGAAAGAGTTACATCATATAGACACTAAATGGAAGATTGTTATCAAGGACTGAAGTATCTAGCAAATTCTAATCCTTTTATATGTAATCTATTTTGTACCGCAATCTTTCTTTGTTGGAAAAGCAGAAATAAGTTAATTCATCAAGGAAAAAAAGATAACTCTTTATACATAGCTGTAATTTCCATTTGCAATTCAACTGGTTCATTCAAGAAGAATCTTATTTATGAGAACTGGGATGTCAATCAGCTCTATGAGCTGTCTTCATAACCTTGGCGTCGTCCACCTCCTAAATGGATAAAAATAAATATAGATGCAGCGTTATGTAAGAACAATAATGCTGGTATGGGAGGCATTGTTAAAGATTTCAAAGGTAGATTCTTATGTGCTTTGGATCAAATTGCAAACATTGGGATAGTGCATAGCTTGAGATGCTAGATATCATCTATATTAAGAAATTTGTGCAAGATTGGATGTTTGAAGCAGAAGGTATAATTATTGAAGGTGGTAACTATATATATTTAGAAAACCCCCTTCCTTTTGAAACCTTTAGCACCTTTAGGACTAGACTAGGTGTTATAGATATTCATACTTGAATCAGCATAAATTGGAAATTGAATATTTCAATATTTTTATATGTGTTTTTCTATAATTTACTCTATGATTGTTTGTGTTTTATTATTTGTATTTGTGATCTAGTTTTGTGTGAATTTTTTTCTTTTTTCTTTTTATTAAATTTTTATGATTATCACATATTAGTCAAAAATTTCTCACATCAAATTGTATAATCCCACATCGTACTGTATGATATTCACAAAGTATCACATCACTACTCACAACCCATCCAATGACTTTGATCGATTAATTATTGGCAATCATATGATATGTACACCCAATTCATACTATATGATACATATAGAACTAAGAATTGGGCACATTGAATTCAACTAGTACGATATTTAATATCTTATCATACTATATAAACACCTGTTTGTATAAGATGATCTAATAGTCAACGATTGTATAGGCTGACACCTTGGGATGATTGTCTTTATAGTGATTGTCTAGTATGATTATGACCATACTATATGATAAGACCACTTTTTTTGACTGATCAAACTGGATGAACTGAATGCACTCAATCATACTATACAATACCATATCATACTATACAATATGGTAGAATTCTATTTAAAATGAGGGAAAACAAAATTTTTCTTCACACAACTATTTTCAAATATTCTTCCATCCTCCCTGAGGTCTTAGTCCTTGTAATGACCAGTGGAAAGCAATCAAGAGCTCTCATCAATATCTCCTCCCAACATCCCGTGGATCTTGCTTTACTAAAGCAGCTAATGAAGAGGCATATAATCATTATAAGGTTATTAGGATCACACCCTTAAAAATCATAAATAAGAAATTTCTAAACTTCTTGATACTCATTTTTTCGCTCGCTGGTCCCTTCAATTCATTCTCACTCTTACCTATCCTTTCAACTCCAAACTTCTTTTTGAATTTTGTGCAAGCCTTCAAATTAATAGTGGGGGCACTACCCTCCAATCCTATGTAAATAAAAGGCCAATGAAAATCACCTACCAAGACTTTAATCAATTCTTACATTTCATGAGTCATATCATGTATTTCATGGATACTAAATTTGGTGATTGTGCGCACACACACTCAAGGGAGTGAGACAGTGAGAAAAATATGAGTATAATTTTTTGAACTAATCATACTATACAAAGTATATCATACTGACCAATTAGCTATTTAGAGAATCAATGAAAATAGCTAATTATATAATTAAAGATATTTTAACAAATCATACTGGATAATTTATATCATACTAGACTATCAATTGAAATCAATATCCCAACTGCCAATCATAATTTAAGTAATATTTTAAAATTCAAATATTGTAATAATTGTATAGTATATATCGTACTATATGATATGTATTGTACTATATAATATAACTAAATCTTACCAAATGTATCATATCGTACGTATCATACTATATGATATATATCATACTATATGATATATATCATACTATATGATAAAATAAAATTTTGCCTAAATTAATCCTAAAATTAAAGAATAATTTTGAATTAATTGATCAAGTCATATCTTAAAGGATGATTGGACCTAATCATGTCGTATGACCTGATCTTTGTATGGGATGAGTTTTTATCATTGCAAATCATACGAGATAATAATCCAAGACATTTAAACTAATGGTATTGTATGACCCTCAAATTGTACTGAACAGTTAGCTGAAGCTATTGAACTGATCGTACAGTGCCTTATTATTCATACAATACAAACATAATTATTTTAACTAATCATACTGCATGATCTTTTATCATATTATGCGATGATTATCCACTGAATTTTAGGGCTTTTATTGAGGCCTTATATTTAAGCTCTCTAATTAAAATTATCTATGAAGGTCCCTTTGATTGTAGGGGGAGACTTCAATTGTATAGTCTCTCAAGATGAGAAGAGAGGAGGTAGGAAATTTGTGTTCTCGCAAGGTCCAAAGGAGATGATGGACTTCATGAATGAGAATGATTTGCATGATGTAAGGGTGGGGGGACCAAGGTTCACATGGTGCAATAGCAAAAATGGGGGAGGCTGGATCTTGGAAAGGTTGGATAGGTGTTTACTTAACACTTTGGCTATCAACTGTATTCAGGTGGCATTGGTAAGGCATTTAGTAAGAATTGCCTCAGATCATTGTCTTATATTTTTGAAAATTTTTGATTCACCATCTAGAAGTAAAGGGATTATCAAATTTAAGGACGTATGGCTATCCTATAGAGGTTCGGCTCACATTATAGCTAAAGTATGGAAAAGGGGATTTCATGGCAATGATATGGAGATCCTAAACAAAAAATGTAAAAAAGCTTTGAAGGATTTGCATTTTTGGGGAAAGGCTAAAGTCAAGGAGTTCTATATTGAGAAGGACAAATTGAAAGAGGAAATTGTTCATCTTCTAGAGGAAGAAGCAAATATGGGTTGGTTGAGTGAAGATAAGCTTTTGAAGCTAAGAACTAAAGTCAAAGAGCTCAATATGACACTTTTTCGGTTAAACACATGGTGGAAACAAAGAGCAAAGGTTAAATGGTATGTGGAAGGGGATGATAATACGAAATTCTTTCATTCCTATGCAAGCACCAGGAGGAGTGGAAACTGGATTTCTCAAGTAAAGAAGTGCAGTGGGGAGCTAACCGAAGATCCTAAAGAAGCACAGGAAGTATTCTTTACGTATTTTCTGGAGAAATGGAAGGAAAGGGATTATTTTGAAGAAAATTGGCATACACCGTATAGAATCCTGGATGAAGAAGATAGAAGGAGTCTGGTGCTGATATTTCAGATTGAGAAATTGTGGAAGTAATCAGATTGCTGGGTAACAATAAAGCTCCTGGTTTTGATGGCATTACTTACTCCTTCTTCAAGGCTTATTGGAGCATTATAGGAAGTGATGTTTGCAAAGCAATGAAGTATTTTTTTTTGTGACAGGCAAAATGTGCAAAGAATGGAAGGACACTCTAGTGGTGTTGATTCAAAAAATGAAGAATTCAGTCACGCTTGCTGGTTTTCACCCGATTAGCTTGTGTAACTCTATTTATAAAATTGTGGTTAAAGTTTTATTGAACAGGCCGTTGGCGGTGGTCATTCCAAAAATTATTTTGGAGGAGCAGGTTGCATTTGTCAAAGGTAGAAACATAGATGATCACCTATTACTGGCTCAAGAAGTTTCAAACAAGATCAGGATATCTAAAGCAGCTGATGGTATGATAGCAATCAAATTAGACATGGAGCAAGCCTACGACAGCATGTGTTGGAAGACTCTTCACAAAATGTTGGGAATCTTGGGCTTCCCAAAGCAGTTTATGGATTTGGTGATGAAATGCATTATGGAGCCTAGATATGCTATCTCTATTAATGGTGGGATCTCTAAATGGATTGAAGGGAAGAGTGGGTTCCATCAAGGTTGTCCACTCTCTCCTTTTCTTTTTATTATTTGCTCCCAACTTCTTTCTAATGGCTTTTTCAGTGAAGGCAAGGATCTCGGCATCAGAATTGCTCCTAATACTCAAAGGATTTCTCATTTGCTTTATGTGATGGCGTCCTCTTATTTTCTGATGCTAAAGTTAAAAGTATAAAAAAAGTTAAAAACATTTTGACTGCTTATTGTGCTTGGACTAGATGAGATTGAATTCTATGAAATCTGCAGTGATTTGTAACAAATCGGTTAACTGTGGAAGAAGGAAAAAGATTGTAAGGTTGTTAGAGATGAAACATGTAGAAGAGATGGAGTATTTGGGAACCAATTTTGCTCTTAGAAGATTGAAAAAGACTGATTTTCAATGTCTTTTAGATAAATCTATGAAGACACTTAGCACGTGGGGAAATAGATACATTTCTCTAGTGGGAAGACTGATTTTAATAAAACATGTTTTTTGTAATCTTCCATTGTTTCTTATGTCTCATTCTATTATTCACTTAAGTATTTTGAGGGAATTTGAGAAAATTTCCAAAAATTTTATTTGGAATAAGTTGGATGGTAAGCAAGGGATGCATTATGTGGCTTGGGAAGAATTGTGCAAACCGAGATCAATGGGTGGTTTGGGGCTTCACTAGGCTATATCCAGTTTGGAACCAATGAGGGCAAAGTTTGCTTGGAATTTGGTTCTTAATCCTAATTCCTTGTTTAATAGAATCCTAACGGCTAGATATGGGAATGATTGGTGGAGGAATGAAACCTGGAAGGGTGGTTCTTCTTCTTGGAAGATTATAGCTAGCAGTTGGAAGGCCTTCAAAGGCTTTATAAGATGGAAAGTAGTGGATGGTAGAAGTATTAATGTATTGAAGGATGTTTGGATCCTGGACAATTCTCATAATAAATGGCCTACTTTTGTCGCTAATTTTGAAGAAGACAATTCAAATCTTGATTGCTTTATTCAAGAAGGAAGGTGGAATAGAGAGAAGATTCCTCTATTTTTTGGGGAAGAACTGGTGAAATTAATCTGTAGCATTCAGATTTGTCAAGATTCAGAATCAGATTACATGGAGCTAAAAAGGAAAATGTCTGAGAAATCAATTTCAAATGTAATAAGAGAAGAATCTATGAGGGAAGTAGCTATGCTAGATCACAATGCTTGGATTCACAAGGTGAAAATGAATGCAAAGGTTAAGTTATTCATTTGGAGATTGAGCAAAGAAGTAATTCCAATAGCAGATTTCTTGAAGAAAAGGAAGTTATGCAACTGTAATTTCTATCTTAGAGGCTACGGGGAGGTGGAGGATGAAGATCATATTACTACTAGATGCTCTAAGCTTATTGAAGTTATCCTGAATTTGAGGATATGTGGGTTTCCTGTTCTGATTTTCTATTCATTTCAGCATTGTTTGATTGAGCTTAAATCTGTGTATGAAGAAAATAAATTGTTGATGAAATTATATTTTTCTTTGCTCTGGTTTTCCTGGAATAACAGGAATTTAAAGATTCTCGTGAAGTCTGAAGATAGTGTATAATTCATTGTAGCAAATGTGGTTAGCTTTGTGAATATGGATAAAATGAGCAAAGATATCTCAGATTACTGGGATGCTGGTCGATCCTTGGGACCATGCTTTGATTTCTTGTGTCCTTTCCCACCCGAGTGGTATAAAATAAATGTTGATGCTGCATTAAAGAGTGACTATGAAGCAAGCATTGGAGGCATTGTACGGGACTACAAAGGAAGATTTATGTTGACATTTGGTTTTCATGGAATACATTGGGATATATCTCAGGTAGAACTCCTTGCATTCAGCTCTCTTAAAGAGGTTTTGAAGGATTGTTTATTCGATACTAAAGGTATTATTTTGGAAGGAGACAATAAGAATGTGATCCTATTCCTTCAGAATTTGTATAGCAAACAGAAGGAAATAGGTGGAAGCATAGTACATGATGATTTCTCATTCTTAAATATTTGGGATAACGTCATTTTCCATTTTGTGGATATAAAATGTAACAAGGTAGCCGATTACTGTGCTACCCTTGCTTTATCATTTGATTTTATTTGGGATGTCTTTTGTGAGAGTTCACTTCCTTCTACCTTTGTTCATCTTGTAAAGGAGGAAAGTGATAGAGTGAATAACTCTCACTAGTTTGTACCTAGACTTTCCTTTGGTTATATTTAATACATTTTGAATGTCTTCAAAAAAAAATTAGAATTATCTCAAGTCTTTGGTTGGTGAGTGTTCTATAGAGAGAGCTTAGAGAAGGAATCTAGGAGAGCTTTGGAAAGGAAAAAAGGAAAGCTTGTGCGTAAGGGAGAAGTAGCATGAAGGGTTCACATGTTTGCTCTAAGTAAGGGTCTTTTCTTGTTTCCTCCAGGTGCCTATCAAGGTTTCTTGTGTGGCTTTGGGAAGAAGTTCTTTAGCTCAAAGACTGTTGAGGTTCTCTACCTTCACTAGGAGGGTGAAAAAGGAGGTTTATGTTCTTTTACTTAACTAGGAGGGTAAAAAAAGAGGTTCATGTACTATGCCATCATCAAGAAAGTGAGAAAGGTGGTCATTCTCTGCCATCACCAAGAGGGTGATAAAGGAGGTTAAGGTTCTCTACCATCACTAGGAGGATGAGAAAGGAGGTCAAGGTTCTCTGTGTCACTAAGAGGGTGAGAAAGTAGGTCAAGGTTCTCTACCACATTGGGTTGGTGAAAAGATTGTAAGGGCCTCTTTGCCTAGTTGTGGGGGCTAAAGGAGAGACACTTAAGTTAGTGTAATAATTAGAGAGGAGGACTACAGGAAGTGGACATAGGTTATTGTTTTACCAAACCACTATAAAATTTTTGGTGTGTTTTTTTTTTAAGTTTTTCATTTTTCATGCTTTACTTTTTTTTGCATTTTATTTCTGTGATAATTTATTGTTTAAAACTATGATTGATGCTTCATTATGTTTATTAAAATACCATCATCATTATTATAACTTCTGATAAAATTATATTCTTATGTATTTGGTGATAACTGTTATTATTTTTAAGTTGTTAAAAATCCCAAAATTTAAAATAATTTTGTGTTTTCTAGTAGGATTTTTAAAACTACTAATTCACCCACACTTGGTGTACATAGGGATAGTTCACTTAGACTTAACATCTTACATAAATTTTTAATCATCAAGCATTGTAGCGAAGAAAACTTGTTAGGGCCGTGGTGACAGTTCAACTTTAAGTGCCTAGGTGCCACCTTGTCTAGTGCTGTGTTGCTTTAGGTTATTTCTATGCTTTTCTATAAATATATATTCAGTTTTGTTTGTAATAGAGCTTAATCACTTGAGTAAAATTTAGTATATTTTTAGAGTATTTCTCAAGTACTCTCTCAGATTAAAATCTAAGAGAACCAAGGGAAGTATAAGATACAATCTCTGGGTGAGTTTTACCTGTGTTTGTATAAGTAATTCTATAAGTGGAGGAAGGAGTGTAGAGAAGACACTTTTATCCTTTATGTTGATAAAATTCCATGACTTGTCTTATATTTTGATTCTTCTATGAATAAAAAGAAAATGAGTTTTCGTATTATTTCTTCAATGTCTGGTTAGATCTCTTATTTTGGATTAATGATGCAAAGAGTTTGTTAAGTATTAATATAAACTCTTATACTCTAAAGAATTATGAATGTTTTCAATATATCCCATTCTTCATTTAAATCATACATTGATCATGTGTGCATTTAAAACATAGTGTGATGTATAGCATCGTTAGTCAAATACATGAATAATTAGGAGTATAGAGATAGAATATTGACATGCCTAGATATATGATTTTTGAATATTTTAGGTTTTACGGAGATATTTAACCTATAGGAGGTAAGCAAAATTCTTTTCACCCCTATAAATTTGATAGAGATCTAGGGATATATATGCTCTAATCCACATCTAAAACTAAGAGTTTCATTAGAAAAAAAATATGATGTTTGTTTGCATTAATTCAAAATATTTTAATAAAGTTATATCAATTGTTTTAATTATTTTTATTAAGTGGTAAGAACTCAAAAATATTATTTTATTTCAGTAGGATAACTTATGCAATTATAATAAATAGTAATATTAATTTTATCATAAGTAAACATATTGTTGCAGTCCATAATCCCTAGTTTGTAATTTTGATGATGATAAATATTATTGATTGAATTATTACTTTTCTAATTAAATATTTTTTTTATGTTTCTTTTACCTATGAGCACTTACATTGCAGGTAAGACATACACTTCTCAAGGAACCTAAAACCTTAATAATTAGTAGAATAGGAGTGTCAAGAAAATAAACTTTATACTTTTAATTTTCTTTATTTTCTATTTCTTGAGTCTGGCCACATAAGAGTGTACATAATTAGGTGACCGTGCACATACAAG